GGTATTTTGAGAAATTTTAAGATATAGCTTTTTATTATTTATTTTTATATAAGTAGCTTTAATTATTAATTATTTTTTAGTGAATTTTTTAGAAATAAATATGAATCAACTTGATGTTGAAAATAAAGAAATTAATGTAATTGATTATGAAAAAGATTATAAAATTTTTCTTTTCAATAGCTTTATAACTTATTTCTTTTTGTAATGGAATATCTATAAAAAGCTAAGAAAAACTTTGATTATACCTGATGTAGCTTTTGAATAGACTTTTAAATTATGTATCAGAATTATTTTTTATCATTAGAATTATATATATTTGGTTCTATTAGCTTATAGGTAACAAATCAGCTTTATGTAAAGAATATAAAACAAAATATTTTAAACAAAAATGGTGTATATTAAGTATATATTTGAATATCAACATGCCAGATTAGAGGATTAGAGTTAGGATAGGATTAGTTATAAGGTTGCGATTAGGGATTAGCATTATGTTAGAATTAAGAATTAGAGATTATGGGTTAGGTTAGGATTAAGGATTAGGGATTAAAGATTAGGGTTAGAGTTAATCGAAATTGGTAGGTTAAAGATTGTTTTAATGATGGTTATACATGCCGAAATTATCTTAAATATAGACATAATGCAAGGTTGTACTTTACCAAATAAAAAATGTAAAGAAAGCGGATATACTTATCTACATTGTCTAAACAAAGAAAATATTACCTTTGTTGAATCGCTAATAAGTTATAAAGATTTATAAGATGTAAATTTTTATAAATTAATCACGTGATATATATATATACTAGGATGGTGTTTAATAAAAATCATCCAGGATGGTAATTATAAATGTTCTTTTTTTAAATAGTTTTATTTATTATTATTATTATTTTATTAATATTATAATTATTATTAAAATATTTATATTTATATTTCACATTTTAAATTTATATAAACTTAAAATAAGTAATCGTTAAAACTTAAATTAATATAAATAAAAATATTTATTAGTAATATTATATTAAATATATATATGTATCCTACAGATTAAGGGGATAAAAATATATAGTAAAGGGTATAAAGTTTTAACTGAAAATCATAACAAAAACTCTTAAATTAAATTAAATGTAAATAATATAAATTAAATAAGACCATATTGGTGAAGCCCAGCTGTGCAATATAAAATTTCTGGATAATATACTGAACAATCTGAGAATGTATCATTTTCCTTCAGTTCGTAAGTACTTTGAATACCACCAAGCATTTCCTGTGGTAAAAGCGCCCCATGAGTAAAAGTGGGTTGAATACTTCTGTTCTCAGCTCCAGTGACATTTTCAAATGTCAGAAAACCAGATTTCGTTGCTAAAGATTTAAGTTGTTGACTCATTCCTAAAGGATGGATTACTTTATAAGTATTTAAATACATAATAACCTGTAATTGTGAAATAATAATTTCATATACCATTCTCCCAAGCCCATATTTCCACTTCACGTCCCTCGGCCCTCCGTAATGGGGGTACAAAATCACCATCACCCGAAATCAAGATAATGGCATTATTAATGGGGGCCTTTGAAATGATATTACTAATAAGACATGCAATTTCGGTATCAACATATTTTCTCCTTGCCATGATTTTTTGCGAACCATTTTACAAGAAAATTATTCTTTTCGAGAAGCTTAAAAAACGGAAGGTGTGTTATTAAGTCATTTTTATGACAAGATCCAACAATAATGGAATTCTCAGTTTCACGCCCATCTAGAATTATATTACGTAGTTTAGCGTAATTAAGATCAGAATCTACTTTAATTGGGGAATTTTCGATGTTTTTCCCTTGAAAATAAATATTGGAGTGATCTATAATTACGTATGCAGGACCTAATGACGCATACAGCTTGGTATTAACAACTAAGTATGACATAAATTTAAAACCTCTATCTTGATAAGCAAACTCTCCTCTTACCTTGGGTTGTGAGAGAAGTACTAGAAGTACTAGTCATGGTCTTTGGTTGAAGAATTAGACCTTGATAGCTATTATTATTTTTTATAATAAACTGGATGTCGATATATCTGTATTTTTTTTTATTTAAATTTTTTATAATAAAAAAGATGTGTATTTTTTTTTAATAAACGAGGTCGGGAAGATTAAAAACCTGCGTGACGAAAAATAAATGTGTATATATACATAAATAAAAGGATTTTTCTGAATCCTTTTTGGGAAACGGAAAATTGCATAAATGACACCCGCAGCCGAACTTTAAATCTATTAATACGCGATAAAGGATCTGCACTATCATAAAACTCATCATAATACGCGTGCGTTGTACTTTAAGTAAAAAAATGTTACGTTCAAAAACGCCGAATGTTAATGCTTTAAGGGACCTTACTAATAAAATACCACCTTCGAAAAAACACAAGGAAACACAATCTGAAAAAAAGAAAGTTGAAAGGAAAAAAATGAAGGATAAGAGAGTAGTTCATCATGATAATTTTCCTGATATTGAATACTGTCCTCCACCTATGGAAGGTTCTTGTCAATGTTTGATAAGCTATGCACAGGAGGGAAAGAATTTATATAATTAACTAATTTATCATTAATAAAGAGCCACCATTTGAACCGGATGACGAAGACCTTAAGATTGATTTCGAGCTTTTCAAACATCCACCTAACTTTGACGCGTATGAATTTGAAAATATCATTTATAAAGAACAAACAATGGAAAATTTCAATGAAAATGCTTTACAGGATAGAGAATTTATGACCGAGGAAGGTAAGTATTACGTATTCTCTCTTTATTTTTTATTTGCAAAAAGGTAATTAATCACCAACTTTTCTATAAAGAATTATTTGGTTTTGACAAATTATTGGAAAATGATGAATTAATCTTCTCGGATTTGGAATATGGGAAAGAATTTATGAAACAATTTGGAAATTTCAAATTTAGCTAAACAATGAAAATATTCGCGATAGATTAATCGAATTTCTATAATAAATAAACAATAACCTTCCCTTTGATCCAAATGTAACAACATTTTATTCATTTTACATCAATTATAAAGTTTGTGTAGAAATTTTTAAAGCATGATTTATTAATAAAAGAATATTATAAGTTAAAGCTCTATAAAGAATTTGTGTTTAACATTTGAAATGAATTCTCTTGACTACGAAGAATTCGAATCTGGTATCGGTTCTCCAGTTTTAGAACGATACAGTTCGGCTACATCCAGCCATCCTTCCTCATAAGCCACTTGCGCAGGCTATTATTATAATTAATATAAATCTTTAGTTTTATTTGAAAATTTTTGCCTCTTAAAATGAATAAGTTTGGAACTTACAGTCTTTCCTTCCGAATTTCTAATGAATGGATCTGCATCGTGATCAAGTAATATTTGAGCTACCTTTATATTTTCTGCGACGAATAAAGGAGTATCTCCATCATTATCACGAATATTCACATCAGCTCCTTGCGATATTAGGAATTCAATTAATTCTATATGATTATATGATGTAGCTGCCGTTAATGGTGTGTATCCATTAGTATCTTTAGAATTTGGGGATACTCCGCTTATTAAAAGTTCCTAAAGAAAGTTTTTTGTATACATTTGTAAATGCATTCATTCATATTCAAAGAGAGGAAACAAAATTGAATTTACCGTAACGCGTTGTATGTCTCCATCAGCTATAAAATTAATGGATGAATTAGAATTGGTTTCAAATATTTCATTATTTGTTATTGAAACATACCTGCTGCGACCCAAATATTTTTATCGGACATTTTCTTATCAGTCAAATCACAGGCGAACTCTCTTTTAT